TTCCTTCTGGTATGACTGTTGAAAAATGGAGTGTAGCTAGACATAGTGTGTTTTGTTTTTGGTTGTTTAGTTTCCATTGCCAGGTGGTTATGGACAAGTGAAAAGGTTTTGAGCAATGTCTACATTTCAGAAGCTTCATAAATGTTTTGCTCTATTGCCCAGGTAATTAAATTTTAGGCACTGTCCTTTGCAGTCACTGAAACAGTAGATGCTAATGATATGGCCCTGTGGAAGTAGTATTTTGATTCCTCTGTTTTATTTTTTATTAATAATTTTATTATTTATCTATATTTGTTTATTTTTATTTGTTTTTGTTAACTGAGAGCAGCTGTCAGGTTAGGCCGATGTTGTTAACTGTGGAAACAATCAACCTTCTCCTTTCATGATATGATTATTGTGTTATGGGCTCTCCCTCTTAGATGGATCAGGTCAATATAGGTCGCCGTGTTCTCGATGACCTCATTTTTCTCTCCCCTCTGCAGGAAGAGGAGGAGGAGGTATCGCGACTATACACTGGTTGCATCCTCGCTTAAAACACCTACCTACCACCTAAGAGCTCCTCCTGCAGTCGTAAGTAGCGTTAGGAAGTTGCTCCCATGTCCCAGCTTGCTAGCCATAGGGCTGCCTACGAGATGCTTTTTCCTGTAACGCTAATGATGATGATGATGATTATCATTCACTCTCAATCTCGACCCCAGTGTGAATAAGGGGGTTAGAGCCAGGTAGAAACACTGTGTGATCTGACAGCTGCTTTTAGGATTTTCTTTGATTTTTATTCACTAAGGCCAGAGCAGCTCGACCACAATTTTTTTTTTCTTTTCCTTTCTTTTTCATATCATTGTCAGATGATGGCAAGCACAGACTGTATTGCTCATGTGATATTATGTTGACTTGCAACTCTGACTGTTATGTGAAAGACTTAGAAGAGATTCCTTTTAAGAACTCAAAACACTGAAAAAGGAACAGGTCTTGCTGGATAAAACCTTGATGAATAAAACATGTCTTTTAAGTAGCTGACAGGGTGAGGTAACTTATGAAAAAAGGAATCCCCCAATAAACCCAAACCTGAAAGAACAGGTTTTGTTCCTTCCTGACTGACCCCACCCCCTGTGCTTTCCCTTGCAGAGAAGTGCGGACGGATCATCCCCCGAGAAGTGCAGCATCATGTGAGTGGCGAGGCGACGATGGTTAGCCCTAGGTTGCCTGATGCCTAATTGGCTCCCACCCAGTTTTACGTACAAAATGACCTCCATCCCTCTGAGCCGCACGCTTCCTGTATCAGGATGGTTTTGCTGAGTTTTGAAATAAAAAAAGGGGCCTGAGTTCTTGTGAAGGTGATTTTTTTTTTCTTTTTTTCTTAAAGTGATGTGCAAGAGTCCATATAATTGCATGTTTATCTTATTTTTCTTTTTGATTATATAGTGATTTATGTGAAAATGCTGCAAGAAGTAAGATATATATACATATATATAAATATATATTTATAGATGTATTGTAAACACATTTGAGTAGATATCATCTCCGTATCTATGTTTATATTGTACATTGAACATGAAAATTTGATTGGCTGTTGCATTGTCAAAGGAAGTGATGTGGTTTTGAGAGGACTAGGAAACAAAGGCCAGTTATTAAATTGCTTGTTACTTAAAGACATTAGTGCTGAGCATCAGAAGCTGGATGGGGTCACCAAGAGAAAGTGCTGATAGAGAACTTTTTTGTGTCGTAAAGGGATCTCACATTTTAAGAGGAGTAAATTGCATGCCTATCATGGGGCACGGGATAATTTGGTCCTGTGCTCATGATGGCCAGAATACAAAGAAGAATTTTGTTAGAAGATTCATTTGTTTTAACACACAAAAAAATAAAAAAGCAAACGGGGAAAAAATAAACAAACCAGAATTTATATGTTGGCCTGAATTGGGTAGGTAAGTATACACCCCTTGCTGTATGGAGAACATGCCGGTTCTCAAAAAGGGGAACGGTATTCGCTTACATATATATATATATTTTTTTTGTTTTTGTTTTTCTTTCATTTTAGTTTTTTTCTTTTTTTTTTTTTTCCTTTTGGTTGCTTAATGATAAAACCAAACTTTTATGGTGGTTTGTATGACGAGGTCAGAGAGTTTTGCTTCATGTGCTTATTCTTCTTGGATATTAATATAAAACTTTTAAAAAATTAAAAAAAAAAACAAAAAAGACTTAACATTTTCGAAGTGCAAGCATACTAAGTATTATAAGTAAGGAGAGAACAGTGTTAATTTACCTGTTAAGGAGGATGAGGCCTGCCATTTTTGGGAAGGGAAAATAAGGTGGGAGAGGAAGAGAGTTCACCAGAGGAAGCAAAACACCACACGGAAAGTTTTCACTCGTACAAGGGTTGTACTTCTTGTCTTTTCAGTTAGTTGTTATTATTATTATTATTTTTTTTTTTTCATTATTTACTTTATCATTAATGCAGAAGGAAACGAAATTTTGCCAACGATTGGGTTTTATAATTTTCTTTTTATGATTATATCATGAATAGTTTTCAATGTTCTAAGTATATTTAAATGATTTTGTCGTGTTTTATTGATTTGTGCCAATAGAAATCAGTGAGTCAGAGAACTTTTTATGTCCAATTAAAAATAATAGAGAGAGATGTATGTGCTATTCTCTCTCGCAAATGTTCACTGCCATTTTGTTTCCTAAATGTAAGTGGTGGCAGCTCCATGTAGCTGTCACTTGTTAAGAATACCTTGTAGGGGTTAACTGTAATGCTTTTTGTTTTTCTGTATCATTGTCTCTCTTTGTTTTTTGATTCATGTTTTTATTTGGCTCCCCACATTACTTCAGGTCTATTTATATCACGTTATGTCTTTGCTTACGGCCAAGCCCAATGATTCCTATTGTAAGTAAGATGTGGTTGTTTCTAATAGGGATTTATTTTTTATTTCTTCAGCTATAAGGTAGGATGATTACCCGAGTCCCCTCCCTTTACACACACACACACACAAAAGGGAAAGAATTTATAGGATAATATTTTTTTTCCTATTGATTGATTATATGTTGAAGAAAATGGGAAGAGAGTATTGGAAGAAAAGAGAGGGGAAGAAAAAAAAAAAGATGATTTTTAGATTATTTTTAAGTTTTGTGATGACCAGATTCTGCTGACCTAAACCTTGGAACTTGTGACCACCCCAAAAATTTGCAAACTAGTGGACACAAACCAAGGCTTAGCAAAGTTGATGGCCTCTTTAACATTGTAATGAAGGCTAACACTCGTTTGCACGCTTATCTCAGCACACTGCCGCTGCAACCTCTCTGTAAGGGGATAGAAGGCCAGGCATGTTTCATGATCCTCATAGTAAAGGAAGTTATTATTATTTTTTTCTCTCTCTCTCTTAATATTCCCATTGAATTTTTATTTTATTTTTCCCCATTGCTGATATACAAATCTTTTTTTTATGTTAATGCTAGCATCATTCTTTTCCTTACATGGGTTGCAGCAGCTTATAAGTTTTACAGAGGAAAAAGTCTTTTTATGTTTGTTAGCCCAGAGAAATAAAAATGAATATATATGTATATTTTCATGAATCCCACTCAGAATTGTAAAAAAAGAAAGAAAAAAAAAGAAAAAACGGCACTTGAGGTATGATATGGGAATTATTCCCGCATATTCCCTCAAGAAAATTATATATTGTAAAATTAATGAAGAAGAAAGACGTGTTTCAAGTAATGCTGAAGAAACAAGATCTTTTATTGAAGAAGGAAAAAAGTATATCAGTTGTGTAACCTTTGATCAACCTGGCTTTGTAGCGTCCAAAGTGGTTCTAGTAGTGTGCCTTCAGTGGATATTCTAAAAAAAAGAATAATAATAAGCTCTTAAAAACAAAGAAAAGATATGTACTGTATAATGTTAAAAATTGTCTTTTAAGAGTATGGATTTACTTTAATAAAAGTTAATAGATTCATATGTATTTTTTGTTGTTGTTGTAGACCTGTGAAAAATATTTGTAGAATTCAGGATATAAAAGCTGTGCATTTGAGAATTGTTCTTTGTGTGTACCAGTATATGGATTATATATACACAGATTGAGAGTGAAGTATAATGCATATATTTAAAGAATTTCAGGTCAGTTCAGTTTACTTGCTCTTATTGATAATTGATTGCATTTTTTTTTCCTTAGAATTATATAGTCATTGAAAAATGCACTATGAAAATTATTTTGTATATTTTAAAACTGAGAGAAGAGAAGCTGAAATTATAGAAGGGAATATTTCAATATTTTGACTAAAGTGAAGGAAAATAGGAAATTTAGAAAGCAAGGGTTTGGCTACAGAACGTACATTGTGTGTAATCTCATTTTACGGAAAGATTACATTTCTCGACCTTCCACTCCTGCTTCTTGTTCCTCACCGATGGATTTTTTGGAAATACACAAGTGAAGATAGTACTGTGTTTTCTTGTGGTGAGAGACCATTTGCATCTAATGAGTATATACCTGGCACTTACAAGCATGTATTCATATATGCATTGTAAATGATGACTAAGGAATATGAAACAGATGGTAAAGACAGAGCAAAATGATTATATAAAGGGAAATATGTGTATTTCATGTCCAAAAGACAAGAACTCTTGTGTAAAGATTTACAGGTTGTTAGCAAGAGGAATAAACTAGAATTAATTTAGAGATTTATTGTATTAATTTACATGCTCTGAAGAAAATTGAAGTTCTTTAATGTGATGAGAATTGGTCAGTTAACTTATATTCTAAAACCAGCTTTATATCTACAATAACAGCTATTGTTCAAATTGTTTTTGTAGCTATTTGGCTAAATGTAATATTGTATGTGGTAATTGGAACTTGCTATGCCACTTGCCTGGAGAGTACTATTGAATTGCAAGAAAAACATTACAGAATTCACATACCTCTTGTTTGCTGTGTATGAAATGCCACAGATTCACCAATCTAAATAACAGTACGTCCCCATATATTTATCTTTATTTACTAGCATTAATT